TGTGGGAAGGAAGTAAAGATTTTTGCAAAACATGTTGCAGAGAGTTAGCTCTCGGAGTTTAATGCAGTCTAGGTTCCCGGGAACATGTTTTGCCCAGAACTTGTATCTGGTGTGGAACATCTGTTGATTGGGCTGTCTGGGATTTTAGACAGCATTTTGCCACAGATGATTTAAAAGGAAAGCGTCAAGATTGTCCAAGACCCATCAATGGAAAGTGAAAATGTGACTTTTCTGGAGAATAGTTTACTCGAGGAAAGGGATCAGAATCTGTGAACATCTAACCTCTGGTGATCATAATAAAATGAGATTGTGGCAGGTCACAGTCCATTCCTTGGGCATCATAACAGCTCCCTGAATTGCTCCTCAGAGCTCAGAGTCAGCCAAAAGTAGATTGGGAGAAAGGAATTTGTCTTCCGTATTAGTTGGGATTTGCTGTGTTGCAAAATCTTTCTTTGCTTCTGTATCTTTGTCAACTGGGCTTATTTTGTGGATGACTTGTCTGTCAAACATGTAGTAGACTTAATTCTTGTAACAGTATTGTTTTTATTGGATTACTCTTACTGCTTCAGATGTCTCTTATCTCAGCAACAGTGTTTACTTTTATTTTAGATACATCTAAAGGCCACTATGTGCAGTATACTGAATTCTTCACTTATTTTCTTAAAAGAAACAAGAAAATTGAGACAAAATCATCATACTCTAGTTTTTAATGCCTTTGTCAGCTAGAGAAAGCATTGTTTATTCCAAATTGTTTATTTGATCACAGTCTGCATATTTCTCTGATCTCCTGAATGTCACTATTCTGACTGCTTGTTGTTCTGCTCTTTCTACTGTCTTTTCACTGTGGCCTTATAGTTGTAGGTGCAGAGTTACTTACAAGAACAGTATTTGTTCTGTCTTGACATTATCAGCAGTACCTAAGGTCAGCAACCAATGAGTTATTGAAAATGCCAGAAGCTAATACTTGCAGGTGTTAATATTTGTGAAATAATACCCTTAGTGTCATCATGAATGTCTCATCTCTTTATATCCTGAATATTTTATCATGCTCTAAAATGCTTTCTTTTTCAGGAAAGGGATGGTTTCAATACCATAGCAAAGCCACAAGTGAAAATTCTGGAAGAAGATTATGTTTTCATGGCTGTGGGGCTCTGGAACAACATGGTGAGCAGTACTGCACGTGCTGTTGCTTATTAGTCACAGCACAGATACGTCGTAGCATCTCTGTGCTAGCCAGGCTTTGAGCAGCAAAGAGGGGAGTAAAAACTATACAGGCAGAGTCATCCCATAGCTGATGGCTTATGATGTATGGAGATGCTGCTGTCTGCTAATGCTAAAAGTCACACAATCCCAGGAGATCGCTCTTCTGTGGAAATTTCCTAGTGTGAATTACAATGTTATTTAGCGCATATCCTGATTCGATGTCCTCTGATGCTCATGTTTTTAAAGATGAATTTTTTTGCTATTATTATTCTAATTTAGGCGTTTTCAAACATTTCCAATATTTTCCTAATAAACCTTTTCTACAAAGCTACTTATGAGAAAAAGCGTATATAATCTTAATTGTAAAAATCCATAGTGGGAAATGAAGTTAGATTAAAAATAAGACTTGCATTTCTTCTTTCTTTGAAGACAAGATATTAATAAGTTTTTCTTCTGAGAGCACCCACTGTTCTTGTGCAGATTATCCTGAGGGGGAGGGAGAAGTATATAGTGCAATAGCTTTTTAATAAACAGAATTTAAACATGAATCCATACAGATTAATAGACCTCTATTGCCTCTTAAGCAGATTCTTGTAATTCTTGGTGCTGTCATAACTTAGTCAAGAGAAGTAGAATTTATAGTGAGAGGTTGTGTCTTATTAAACCAGATGATGTAGCTAGAAAAATTGCCTTATAAAGGTGTTACCTCTCTCTGTAGACCTGCCACTTTAGTTCAGTAATAGCAACTAAAGAGTTAAAAATTGATCCTCTGCAACCATAACCTTGGAACGAGAGTGCTGCGTCTAGTTATCTCATTCTTTGCTGTTACCCGTAATGCTTCTCATAATAATGCCAAAGTTCCCATCTCCTTGTTTTACTGTATTGTAAAACAGATGCTGTGATAAGATAGATGCATGTTGACTCCTTTATCATCATTTGGCCTTACTTTCACCAGGCAATGCACTTCACTAGTTAAATGAGCAAGCCTGAGAATGAAAGTCAGGCTCCTGAATTCTGCATTGAATGTGGTCTTTCTGAGCCTTCAGGATCTCTAAAACTGGGCCATTTGCCTGAACTATCCATATCATGGGGTCACCATCACTGGTGGTGATAATTATGTGGGTCACCCAGCTGTTAGCATCATTTAAGCACAATCTGTAAGACGCTTCAAAAAGAAGGCATATCCTCCCCAGACAGTAACATAAATCTTAAACCTCGTCAAAAGCAAGTTGCATGAAGTATGAATGTCCAAATCGATGTAAATATGTTGCTTTACATCTGCTTATCCATGGTATTTTTTATCGGCAAACTTCTGAAATGATGAATATCAACATACATATTTATTAGATATAGATTAGATATAGTGCGGAGATATCAGTACTTCTAACTACAGAGTACTGCCACTTTGCTATCCTACTTCGTTTTTTTCAGCAGAAATTCTTTGTGGTGAGCTAAGCCAAATGTTATCAGGACTTTCATTTACTTACGCCAATAGATCAGCCTGAACTGTCAATAGATCAGTGTGCTTTCTAGGGCTTATCAGCTAGAACCTGTCCTTCAGCCCCCAGTATTATCCGTTTCTTTTACCAGTCTCTCCAACTGGCAGAGCCCATTGCCTTCTAACAGGCTTTATTTTCATAACTCTACCTTATAGTTCTTTTCTTTCTGGGGCGTCCTAAAGCCCAGCTTTTCTGGTATTGGTTTATGTAGCACGTCAGTGCTAGGGATTTCATGTTCTTTACAAGGAATTATGGTGATAACCCTCCCCATTCAGAAACTGTTATATTGCTTCCTCAAATTCCTGCCTCTGTAGCAAGGATTTGATTTCTGGAGCTTAACTCATGCAGGCACGTTTAGCTGACTTGACACTGATTTTTCTTCCTCCTCAAATTTTTACACTTCTTGCAGCAAACTCCTGTCCTTTCTGATGATGTTTCTTTGCAGTTTGCCCTCTTTCACTCTGCTTCACCATTTTTTTTCCTGTGTATTTGGTTGAATCCTTTTCTGCCTTGATGTTATTCAACCTTCTGGGATCTGTCCTTCAGTGACCAATTCTTTAGTGACTCAATCTGTTGTCACTTCAACACCCAGGAGCATTTTGTGGAAGCAAGTAAAAGGCTTACTGTAAATCAAATGAGGAGGTACTTTCAGTTGCACTACCTAAGCAGAAGAACACACTGTGGATTCACCAAAACCAGAAAATAGCCACACAAACACTAACTTTGCTTTATTTCATTGTTTCCCCTAGCTGTTGGGTTGCCCCTGTAGAGAGGGGTGGCCAGGGTGAGCTGAGGGAAGAGTAAGATGTAGCAAAACCGCACTTTGCTTCTGGTTTGAAAGAGGCTGCAGAGCTCCCTCAACAATTCTTTTCCACCTCTGTTTTCCTGCTTTCCTGTCTCATTAGTGGAATTTTCTTAGGAAACTTGGAGACTGTCAGCAAGGAAGCTCATGGGGAGCTTGGTTACCTACCTGAGATGGCATTCAGCCGTTGCGCAAGAGCAGGCGATATAAAAGATGCTTTGGTTGAAAAGTGCTGGCAGATTCACTTGCCTGATAAGGGACACTGTAGCACAGCTAAGAATAACAGCAATTAATGCTCCCTGGGAGAAAGAAGAAGGGAGAGGAGAGAAAAAAAAAGAGAGAGAGAGAAGAAATAAATCACTGAGAAGGTGATATCAGAGCAAGATCATGAAAGATCAAGTCAGACAGCAAACATAACAGTATGAGGAGGTACACAAAAACTGCATCCAAAATAGCTCCTTCCTCCCAAGGCTACCAGGCTGTCTTTGTTGGCCCTGCTTGCTCTGGGGCTTGGTCCCTTTTGGAATGATAACCTGCTCATGGACCAAAGGGCAGAACCTTGGAAATCTGGTGGCAATTGGCACTGAAACTTGCTCTGCCTGGAAAAAAGATGGGCTGTCTGAAGTTTTGTCTTGGACCTAGCTGGATATAGTAGCATTCTTAGTAAATTAGGGGCTAAGGGGTTCTTGCAGGACAGACACTGGAGAAGAGTCTGCTAGAAGCCATTGAAGAGTTGGGAAATGCTGAGAGAGGTTGGTTGTTTATTTAGCTGGCTTTGATGTGTACCACGGAGAGTCTGATTGATTAATTCTGGCAAATGCTTACAATTTTATCTCTAGGAATATATCCAGAGGCAAAGCTCCTTTCATGTAGGCAAAATCTTTAGACAAAGCTGCTTTTTCGCTCCTGGGATGGAAGGTCTTTTGTGTAATGGAAAAAAAAAATCACATAAAAATCTAACAAAACATTTTTTGAGGGAAATAAACAAGAACCTCCTCTGCAGCTGCCACCAGAGGCTGTGCGTGCATCTCTGTGTTCAGTAGCTAACCATTGCCTTGGAGCAGGGCTAGCAGGCAAGCTGGTGTTGGATGTCAGGGTGAACTTTAGCAGGCCCCACTACAGAGTCACTACCTGGTTTCCTGTGACCAGGATCTTCTGCCTCTGCTGCCTGAGAGCTGTGAGTGCCTCTGTGTCCTGAGAAAGAGCTGCCTGCTGGAGAAATCCATTCTCAGCACCCAAATTCCAGCAGCATCCAAGTGTCTGTCTTGATATTTATCCCCTGCCAAGTGAAACTACTCTAGTCCATGTTTGTAGGTTCACTCTGCTGGAAGAAGAATATTTCCTTTTAAGAATGTCATAAAATAGCAACTTTGTCTTAGGAGTACAGGGAAGTACCAGTTCTCAGTGTAACTTTTCTTTATGGGTTTATTTTGCAACTCTTGCTGACATTACTTCTATTTCTCGCCTTCAAAAAAAGCACAGTCTTAGTGTCTTCAAATACCTCCTTTAAAAAATAGCTAATTTGGTAAACATCTTCTACTTGTCTCTGAATTTTTCCACTATTTTTACTGTTGGAACAACTGAAATAGAATATAACATTCTGAGCAGGAATGTATCAGTGACGTCAAGTTTGTTATTGCCATATTTTGCAGGGCCTTCAATCATGTTTCTTATGTAGTCTGTTTTTCTAGCACAGCAGCTGCTGGTGCAAATGGAATAGAGATTCACTGAGTAATCTAAAACGGTGCCCAGCTCTTCTTGGTGTGATTGCAATTTAACTGGCACCCAGTAAAGTGCAAAAACAGATGAAAAATTCTGCATAGTTTTTACCACGTTGTGTTGTCAGTAGTGAGTTTTGAGTCATTCCTTAGTTTGTCATTAAGAGCAACTCCCTCACCTTCTTGTGGGAAGAGAAACAAAGGTCAATAAACATGAATATTATCAATCCTCTGCACACAGTTGGAGTGCACTTATTTCTAATGCATAAGAAGGCAGATAAAGAAACARCTCTGAAAATGGAATAAATTAGCAAGCTTTTAGCTAAGTATACTAGAATGGCCAAGGATCAGTGTATATTTTTGTGAGAGACATTTACAGTGTTATAGAAGTATATAGTTATAGAAGCAGTTTGCAACACAGGGGGCTACAAAAAGATAATGCTTCCAGGACAGAAAATGTTTTTTTGTTCTTTTTTAATTTTTTTCTGTGTATTTTGGAGATTTGTGCTTTTGTGCTTCCTTATTTTGTAGATATGCATGTGGCAAATGTGCACAGATTAATACTAAACATACACAAAGCAACTTTTTAATACATATGAACTGATGAGAAACTCCAGACAGTAAAGTCTTTGAGTTATTGTTTCTCTCCCTTCCTTCTCTGTGATAACATGTGTAAAATTTTTGCATTTTGTCCTTTCCTAGTTGGAGCCAGTTGGACAGAAGAAGCCTTACAGTTTTACAAAAATGTTTCAGGTTCAATGCCCATCTCAGGTAAAGGGATTTTTCATCTCTTTGAAGTTATTTATTTTCTCTTTACAGAATCTTGCAGTTTTCAGATATTTCTGCCTTATTCTGAAGTTTTGCAAATGTATATTTTCCCACGGATAGAAATTTAACATAATTGGATTTCATTGACTACTTGATAAAGATGAAATTTTAGGAGAACAAACAACCTTTTGACAAAGCTTACTGGGCAAGATTTTTGTGGGGYTGGGGGGAGAGGGTGGGTAAGAAGACTGAAAAAAAGATCAGTTAATCTGAATTACTTCTGAGTATCAGAGAAGCATTGTCAGTATTAAAATCACTTTCAGCAATAAAATYGAGTCCACACGTTTCATATATTTGGGCTGTGTGTGACTTGACATTTAATAGAGCAGTGCTGTCTTCAGAGTTTAAACATCTCTGAGGTTCAAGAACCATGGGTCTTGAGCTTTTTTGTATTTAAGCATTGACTTCAAAAATTTTATAGTGATCAAATATTGCTGGCATCCAAACATTCACTGAACAATTTAAGCAAACAATCAATTACTGTAAAACTTATGTATGTTTTGTTCCATGTTAAGTTTTAGACGAGGTAGTTCTATATCTAGGGTTTACAAGTACTTAATCCTTGGGTTTAACTCAGTTTACTTCACTAGCAAAATGTTCAGTGAAAAATTAACGATATATAGATTTTTTCCCCCCCTCTGCAAAAGCTATCTAGAAGACTTCAGCATAAAGCTGAGTGTATTTTCATTACTRTTGTTAAAAATACTTTCTTGTCTCTGTAGGAAAATCCGTATTTTTTCACATATAAGAATAGTAACTACTCATCTTTACCCGTGACATCAAAGAGCAAAGCAGCATCTCAGGTAGAGTAAGCCTGTTTGTTTGATCCTGGTGAGAAGAGCACAGAGCTCAAACTGCTTATTTGCATGCTTGTAAGTCACTAAATGCGTAGTACAGGCACTTAACAGCATGTTTTCTTCTTGACAGATTTTGTAGAGTGTGAGTCAAGTTAGATGTCTTCAGGCAGCATGAAGTCTTGTCTTTGTGGCTGAGAACCCTTTTTTAACCTTCTGAATAATAATGTTAACTTCTCTGTGATAAGAAGGTAGTGCGAACAGGGCCCTTTAGTCTTGCTGCGCGGGAAGCTAGATCAGATCAGCATGACAGCACTGTGTGGGTCTCATTTGATCTAGTTTATTTGTWAGTCAAACAGAAGAAGAAAACATTTTTCTTTTTTCAAGAGATAATTGCAGTTTGGAGACAAAAAGCATGTTTTCTGTCATGGGGTATGAGCAGAATTTGGTGCTTTCAGACAACTGCAGAGGTGATACTGCGTGAAGATGAAACGTAATCACCTTTATGTCCCTAGATATATMTAGACTGCATATATGACATTGCAGTGGCACTGTACATTTCTTCACTCATTTTGATGTGACTCTCTCCTTAGTTATGACGCAGATCTGTGTATGGGGCAACAGTCCCTATCGGTCTTATTTTTAATACTAGCTAGGATGTAAGATGATACAAGCACTGCTTTGAGGGGAGAAACAGATAAACTGGAGCCCTGGGGCAAAACAGCCAGGAGTCTTCACAGGCAAATTAACCTACCTGCTGTGGAGTGGCACGTCYTTGGGTCTTGTGCCATGTCCACCCACCATCGCATGCTGCTGTCCGTGCTCGCTCGCAGTATTGCTTGGAGCAGGTGGAGAGCAGAGCACACTTAAGCCTGGCCCTTTCCCTGGAAATGAGCCCAGCCTGTCGGTCACCGTGGAGGGCAGCACGTGGAGAAGGCAGACAAGCAGCCTGCTGGCAAAGGCAGTTTCATGCTGAYGTAGTCCAGGAATGCCCGTGAAGCCTTTAGCAGAAAGATGTGACCCCAATAAGCATGGGCACACGCAAAGTGTCGCAGCTGGGTGCAAGTGGGACAAGTAGTTTGGCGTAAYCAGGGCTACACTAATATGACTGTATGGTTTCTTAGTAGATATGAAGCCCGTGCCTGCCTCGAAGGAGGTGCTTGTGGGCACAGCCTGAGGAAAGGCCCGAGTTGGGTGGACGTATACAAATTATGGGGAAAATCCATTAATCTGATGTTCTGAGGCACAAGTGGTTTGTCACAACCAGGGTATAAAGGGTCTGATACAAACTCTTGCACTCTCTGTCTCTCCAGGAAAGGAGTTATGGAACAAATGTTCCCTGTTCTAGCCGTGGTCCCTCTGATACAGTCCCGACATCAGGTATGGCATTATGCAACTGTTTTACACAAATCCTTCAACTGATAATAGAAGTGGAATAAGGACTGGTTTTAGTGGTATAAGGATTGGTTTTAGTTAGGAAAGATGCACTTTAAGCAATGCATTCTATTTGTCTATTGTGTCTTCAAAATGCTTTTTGAGCAATATAAATAATGATATAGTAGAATTCAAGTCTTCCTTCAAGGACAGCAAAAGCTTATGCAGCTACATCTTATATGTATGAGCCGGGGTGGGGGGAAAAAAAAGTGACAGTGGAAAAGCCAGGAGGGAGCTGGATACTTCAGCTGAAGTGTGTGTGGAAGCAGTGAAGCTGTTTATGAGCCCAGCTCCTGCATTCAGTGATCTCAAAGCACAGTGTGGACCTTCTTAGGCATTGATGCAGTTTGGGATCTGTCGGAGAAGGAGCTCGTGAGGGCTGGTTCCTAGTTCTGTCAGGCAGCCTTGTTTATAAATAGGATGTCTTTCTATGCTTCCTCTGAAGTGGAGCTTAATTTGAAGTGTGATCCTTAATGATTAGTTAGATAGCCATGCTGTTGAGGAAAGTATGGAATAGGGACTTACCACTCTTGTCAGTCAAGCAAAAAAGCCATGGGGAATGTAGTCTCAGGTACATTTATCTTTAGATAAACTGCAATGGTCTTAAAAATTTCACTTTGCGCTGTCACTGTGGCTGTACTTTCCTTTTAGCTATTTCCATAACTTAAAACATACTTGAATAAATGTAGATAGGACAGTGAAATCTCACTGCCTTCCCTGTCACTGTAGCTAACAGACAGCTATGGTACAAAGGATCATTTCTCTTTTGATGACTATCTGTATCTGTCACTCTGAGTTGATGCTACCATAAATATTGAAATATAGCCTCTGCAATGCTTTCTGCTTATCTGATATGCAGCAAAATGTAAAATTTCTTTTTTTTCCTCCCTTCCTTATGCTATTTTTTTCTCAGTTCATAATTTGAGACCAGCAGATATTCAGGTGATTGCTGCACTGGGAGACTCCCTCACAGTAAGTAAAGATCATTGAATAATGTAATCAAGTAATTTCAATTAAAAAAAATTAAAAAAAAAAAGGTTTTGAATTTTAACCAGAGTGAGTGAATGCAGCCCTATTGGGCCAAACATGTTTTCATGCATTCTTTTTCCACACCCACTGACCGACAACTGATCCGTTCATGAGTGAAATGCATGCACAATTACCATGAAAGGTCACAAGAGAGCTGCAGAAGAAAGCTGCAAGATCAGATTTTATAGCAGCAAAAGCACCCTACTAGAGTGAACTGGCAACAGTTGATTTTCGTTATTGATTCTAGGCAGCTCCCCAGGTATTTGCCTTTGAAGCTGTTAGCAAGCAGCATAAATAGAAAGAAAAACCTCCGCAGCTAACACATATAGCTGTATTGCCAAAGCCTATAAAACCCTGTCCATTTATGTTAACTAAATATTTGAGTTAGAATAGATCATCAAGTGTACTTAGTGTAATTTATCTAGAGAATTTTTTTTTAGAGCTGTTCCCAGGCTATCTACAATGGTTACTCCTAGACTGGCTGTGATTTTTCAATCAGTGATTGTTTCACTGCTCTCATATCATAGCTCTTATTTCTTATGTTCCGTACTAATTGCTCCATTAAGTACTTGTTATCTCTCTTTTTTAAGGAAATTGGGAGTGGGAAGCAGGAAAATCACTGTACTGCTTTATGACACTTTTATTATAATAAATTATAAATTCAGAACATTGCTATCTTATTTATTCCTTATGTAAATTTAGGGTTATTTGAACCTTTCAAATGTTCTCAAACACTTTTCTGCCACTTAATCTAATCAAGAAGTTGGTAGAAGAGGATAAATCACTGGAGTAGAGTTGAAATACCCTCAGGCCTTGATCCTCCTGAGAATAGTATATTTTTGGGAAAATTATGTAGCTTGCCTCATTTACATCTGTTTTAATTATTTTTCTGTGATCAGCTGGAGAGGTAGGTACTATAGCAAGCCTTAATTTCTAAAAATGAGCTCTTGTGCTTGTAGGCAGGTAATGGGGCAAGATCAAATCCCCATGATGTTCTGGATGTCCTCACTCAGTACCGAGGTGTTTCCTGGAGGTGAGTCCCAGGAATTCCCCCCAGCCAGAATCTCTTTGTTTTGGGAAGTGAAAATCTCCRTTTTCTTGGCTTGTGTTATGCTTGTTTATTCTGGTAACAAACACAGGCTTGTGAGTCAGAGTGAGATTGACTTCACACCCTGCATGGAGGCTCCTGCTTGTGTCTTTACTGCTTCTCTTGCAGTCTGTCCATCTGTCTCGTTTGGGCTACAGAGAGCCCCAGAATGGAATCACTCATGCTSCTGTTTCTTACATGATCTCTAGTTCTTGATCCTTTACCAGTTTTATTTACATCACATGGAACAACTCGTTGGTCAGCAGACTTTAACTTATGCAGCATTTTATTAAAAAACCATATGATAGAGAGATAGTCATGTTCTTTTATTATTCTGGAACTATGTGACAACACTACATTGTCAAATTGATTTTTCTTCTCCTTTCTTACTCATGTGAGACACTGCAGCTTTATGGAGGTTTAAAAAAGCACTGCAGCGCTTCAAAACTATTCCTTTTTAAATTAAAGGAATATGAAAGAGGTACCTCCAGCTCTTTATGTTCTGGTCTTTAACAGTATTTCACTGACGTTGGTGGAAAAACAGTTGTAATAGCACTACTTCATAATATGAGGAAGGATAAAGATCACACAGACAGATGGTGAATTTTGCCAGTTCAGTAGTATTCTGCTAATGGAGTGGGGTGGGGAAAAAGGTGCTTGGTACACTTATTAGCCTAAAATATCTACCTTTAGCATGTGTTATGGATAGAATGAKGTTTTTGACTATAAATGGAATTAATACAGGTTTTGTTAAGGATAACATTACCAAAACTGATGGAAAGTGTTCCTCTTTTAATTCTCATTTGTTTCTGCTACATTAAATATATGCCAAAGCATATGAGAGAACAGAATAAGCAGTTAGTGTGCGGAGTTTTTAATATAATGAGTATGATAGAGCCTGTAAGCTTGTAACCCCACTGCTGTGCACACAAAGAGCTTGCTTTGACTTGTTTTCTTTTCTGGGTGTTAGCGGGGAAAGAGGTATACGCCTATGTACTAAGTGTATATATATAGAAACACCATAAGGGGGAGCTCTCTTACTCTTTCCTTTATCTTAACAAGTCAATCAAATTTTGGAATGTTTTTTTTCTTCTTTATTTTTCTTCTAACAGTGTTGGAGGAAATGAAAACATAAGCACAGTCACAACACTAGCAAGTAAGTGCCTTTTACTGTAAGCCTGATGCACACKTGGAGTTGTCTATTAGTTCATAGAAGAGATGAGGGAAAATTTGCAGTGGGGCCAAAACATTTCYTCTTTTTTTCCCCCAATGTTGAGTGCTGAGCAGAAGTTACTTAATAGTCATACTTTAATTTGTTGTGCATGACTTGAACAATGTAGTTGGTAATTTCCAAGGGGGTTGATGGTTTCAGCATACTTCTGTGGATTATAGTTCTGCCCAAACTGTAGATGAATCAAATAGCCTGTAGCCTAAAGAAACTATTTTGGTTGTAAGGGAAAGTTGGTTTAAGTAGGATCAGCTACAAGGTCAGATTTTGCCTGCTTTAGAGGTTGAGGCATTATTGGATCTGGGGTACTCGTAAGGCTTGTTTGCAGCCTAAGATCCTGAAGTGAATCTAGGCCTTTGGGGTTAGTAAATCTTGGGCAGCTGGACTAAAAGATTTGATTTGTGACAGCATGAGACAGTCTCCTGGATATAGGATTGTTTTACCTTGCTTACTAGGCAAAATGGTATTGCTAACTGAGATAGTCATGTTAAGTCACAAGCATCTGAATTCATGCCACTGAGCAAGCTGAAGGCAAGAAAATAGTTGTTGTGATGAACCTCCACCTTTAGCATACCCAGAGGTTTATTTTTGATAGGTATCTGATAAAAATAATCTTTTATTAAGGTCTAATCTTTATAACATGATCTGTTACCTGCTGAAGCAAGCAACATTTCAGGATACTCATTTCTGCAGATATCCTTCGTGAGTTCAATCCTTCCTTGAGAGGGTATTCCACTGGCACTGGCAAGGAGACTACCAATAACGCTGCCTTCAACCAAGCTGTGGCAGGTGATCGTGCAGAGTAAGAGGAAAATTCTTCTTGTAGAAAGCTCCTTAAAATTCAGTTCTGGCTGAAAAAGGCCCAAATGCTGATCTTCAGCTGGAGTGCGATAAGACAGTTGGACCTGATGATCTTGAAGGTCTTTTGATGGGCACACACAAATATGTTTAGTCCATATTTAACTCAAAGAAATGATCTGGGAGCTTTGTAGCTCTTCTAATCTTTATCAAATAAACTAACAGCAATGTCAATGCATTATCTAGCACTGTCTTCCAAGAAGCTCAAGGTACTTTACAAGAGCCGATCAAAAAGTCTCACATTCCTTTGAGATAGAAAAAGAGGATCCATGTGTTACAGGAGGACTCCGAAGGATTTTCAAACCCTGATATTGATAGGACCAAAATTTTGTTTGCTGAAACTGAGGCAGAAGAAATATGACTTGCCTATGATCAACCTGTGGTAAAGCTGGGAATTAACCAGAGGCAGCCACAATTAGTCTTAAGTGAAATTCCTATCAAGCTTTTCCCTTTGGGAACACATCTTCTAAATCATACTTTGAGGCTTGATGTGATGTAATAATTCTGATGCACACTGTGCAGCATGTATGTGTGTATCCATAGTGTAAGTGAGATATTGGAGAGAAGCAAAGTATACTTGTATTGTAGCACRGCGTATTTTCTGCTATGACTTGCAGCATTTGCAAGGTGGTCTGATRGATGCTAAATGTCTTGTTTTCCTCACTCCCCTCACCAAATAGCTTAAAATAAATCCTTTCATTAATAATGTGGATCATTCAGCAGACAAAAGCAAGTGGGGATTCCCATTTTTTTGGTTGTTATTTGAAGGACTCGCATACATCAGCTTTTCTCCTTTCCCTGCTGTCTGTGTAAAGTTACTTAATTTTTATTTATTTATTTGCTTATGTCTAGGGATGTCCCCGCGCAAGTTAGAAGACTGATAGACCGAATGAAGAACGATACTGTGAGTTGAACATGTCACAAATACCTTTAGGAGGAGGAAGTTAAGTGGTACTATGATTTTCTAGCAGTGCAACAAACCACAGCAGAGGCCAAACCAAGGTCTGGGCAATGCAATACCCTCAGTGAGGATCACGCCTGAGCACACTCTYGCTTATAGCTCTGTCTTAACTAGCTGTGTTACAAGCATGTAATATTTATCTTGGTACAAAATCCAGCTAACTCTAATCATTTTCTACCACGAGGTAACTGGTAAATTCAATAAATCCCCACCCAAGCCTCCTTACCTGTTAAGACTACAGAAGCTTTTGTCTGCTAGGGTTTTACTGTGGTAMTGTTAATTGTGATGCAAGCACATGTTTTTGCTAGCTGTGATGCTGAGGACAAGCTTTCCAAACTGCAGTCTTATGGAGTCAGAGTGTGGAACGAACTGTTTTTTTTTTCTATTAAAAACAAACAAACAAAAAAATCCCAGCCTTTTCTTTGCGAATGAGTCAGCAGCTGATTTTTGACATCCGCATTTGTTGTTGGGAATCATTTGATTAATGGCCTGTAAAACACACATCAGGCTGCGGATTGCCTCCTGATTTTTCACCGCAACTATGGCCTTGAGTGTTTACTATTTGTAACTTGATAAACATGCAATGCAATCAGTAACCTAAGTTACACAGTATTATTTTGGCTTGCCTAGTGTGCATTTGGAAGGCAGTCAAAAAGCTTTCAAGATAACTCTGTGTACGTGTCTAAGACAAATATCCCAGTGAAAACATATTGGCAAAAGTATTTGCCGTACCTTTCTTTTCAGTGCACTTTCTTGTAAACAAGATCTCACTCTGGTGGCTGTATCTGAAATGAGATTAAAGGGGAGAGCAGTTTAACAGCTAAGCAGTTGGATTTTTTCTTTTTTGAGGCTTCTAAGCTGTATTCTGTCATATTTAGTAGCTTGGAAACATCACATGGAATAATAAGTGCAAATGCTTTTTCTTTTGACTAATTAACTAGAAAGAGTGCACCTCTTAGAGGTGACATATCTTTGATTTTGCAGCTTTTTATCCTCTTTATAAAGCACCTGTTTATGACAAGAGGGAAAGTCTCAGACTATTTGAATTTTCATAAGTTTTGAGACCAAACCACCAGAGAGGAGTTTTACCACCTGGGATAGATATTATACTGTCTTGGAAGACAGATACTTTTTGCTCGGTTGAGGCTCTCGTATTATTACTGCTTTTCCCAGTGGTGTTAGGCACTGAAGTTCAAGCATTAGGATACTGAGTACCACCATAAGGTGCATGGTATTGAGCAGAGCTGCAATTTTCTTCACAACTAAGATCGTTTGTGTTTACTGTGGTGTAATTGCCATATATTAGCTGTCCTTGGCAAAATCCTGCCAGAGAAAAGGTGCTGTAATTTTTGCCAGTGTTGTTGGATAGAGTTGGAACTACCCCATTCTTTGCAGTATCCTTAAAAAAAAAAAAAGGCCCCCAGAACTTTCCAGCAGAACAACTGCATTTTTTTTTTTATTTCAGAGAAGCATATGCCACCTTTTTTGCAATGAATATTTATTACCAGAATTGCTAGAGGATTTGGTCAATGTATAAATAAATACTATTAAGAGAAGTGAAGGAGCTTGAGCAGTTTTTCTAAAGTTAATAATTTTGTGTGGTGCCACTGAATTGTGAAGCAACAATTGCAAATTTACTTATATCATAGTGCTTTCTTCTTAGTCATGACTGTAAATTCATTTTGTTGTGAATACATCTAGAAAGTTATAGTTGGACCACAAAGAAATGTYAAGCTTGAGCATGTTGCCTGGCTATTTTTTTTCCTGTTATAACTTCCATTGCATTTTTTCTTTTTGTGTGTGTGTGCAGAGCATAAATTTTCAGACTGACTGGAAGCTTGTAACGCTCTTCATAGGAGGAAATGACCTATGCAAATTCTGCAATGACCCAGTAAGTCTTCAGCTGTGAGCAGGGCTGGCCGGGTCACTGGGTCCACATGCCTTGCAGCATGTGGAAGGGCAGAACTCAGCAGGGTGGGAACTCAACCAAGGTAGACAGCAGCTGTGCAGCAGCTCAGTAGAAGGGGGACGTAGAACTTCTCTAGAGGGTCCAGGGTAGAGTGACAAATATTATTAAGGAACTGGAGCATCTGTTGTATGAGGAAAGACTAAGCAAGCTGGGCTTGTTTTGCCTGGGGAAGAGAAGATTGAGAGGAAGTCTTATCAATATGTACAAATATCCAAGGGGAGAAGGTAAAGAGGAAGGGGCCAAGCTCTTCTCTGTGGTGGCCGTTGAAAGGACAAGGGATAACGGGTATAAAGTGAAACACAGGCCSTTCCATCTCCATATGAGGAGGAACTTCTTCACTGTGAGGGTGACAGAGCCCTGGAACGGGCTGCCCAGGGAGGCTGTGGAGTCTCCTTCTCTTGGAGATCTCCCAAACCCGCCTGGATGCCACCCTGTGCCCCGTGCTCTGGGTGTCCCTGCTGGAGCAGGGGGTTGAACTGGATGATCTCTAGAGGTCCCTTCCAACCTCARCCATTCTGTGATTCTGTAATTGCTCTGTGGCCTTCAGGTCGTTCAACCTGTTGYTATGAAAAATGCAGTGATAACTTCCAAGCCTCTGCACATTATATAACTGTGGCTGCTTTATTTGGTTGTTAACTCGAGATAACTTTCCATTGATCTAGCTGTTCAGCCACCTGTAGATAAGTTGTCGCGGTTGTGCTCTCTTCCTTGGCCCCTGGCAYCCTTGGAGGCTTCCCAGCACGCTGGCTTAAGTGCTATTGGGTGGATCTGCCAGTGGCTTGTGCTGATGCCATTAAACCTTCCCATAACCTTCACTCTGTGATTAGTAGGGGTGAAACGCTGTGCTAGACCTCTCACACAGCAGAACATGTGATTTCCATTCCTATTGCTTTCAGATAATGTAAAACCGCCAAAGAAGCATGATAAAAATCATCCTAAAGCAACAAATGAGCATATTAACCATTCCTGCCTTCTGCTCCTGACTCAGACAAAAAAGTGACTGTTATACATAAAGATAAATGTCAGGGAGATGGCATTCAAAGGTCAAAGCGATGGTCTCTTTATGTTGCACAGCTGTCAACAGTGCAATGGCAGTGCTTTCCTGGCAAGCTGTGATTTGGGAAATGCTTAAGGGATCTGAGCTGTCTAGCTTTATAGAGTAGGCCAGTGGGGCTCACAAGGAACATCTGTGCAAAATTAAATCATGGAGAACTAAGCCCGGAAATAAGGAGAAGAATAAATCTAGCACAGAAGTCTGTAGAGTGACATCTTTTGCTTCTCATGTAGATTAAAAAGAATTTGAATTCTATTGGATTAAAAAGCAGAGACGTGGCAGTGGTACTCAGGACTGTTTTACTCTTGACCCGAGAGTTATGAACGAGAGACTTCCACCAGATATTGTTGGGCCTGCTTGAATGAGCAAACTGACAGCAGTGCAACCTTCTTGTATCCACAGGTACACTATTCTCCTGAGAACTACACGTATAACATACAAATAGCTTTGGACATGCTTCACAGAGAGGTAAGATAAGCTTTGCTTGTAATAGGAGACCCTGAAAGAATATAACAGAAAGCATAGGGAGGTGCTGAGTTCTAGCTGATGTGCTGCAGACAAATTGTATTAAAAAAAAAAAAAAAAAAAAAAGGCACAAGAAAACAGTATTCAAGTGTTAGAAAAAGCTAATTTGCTATGATGCAAAGTAGTGCTTCATGGATCATTGAGAGAGGTTGTGATGCTGAGAATGTGGGTGAAGTGGATGGTGAGACCACTCAGTGTCAGGAATTGCCAGAGCCCTGTAGAGAGACACGTGTAACACAAGATGCTGGCATCTTTCTGAAACCATCCTCTCTAAGGGACTGACCACCAATTGGAACTAGAACAAGCCTGCTTAGGAAGGGGCTGTGATTTACTATTTTAACTGTATGGGTATTACTTCACATGGTCTCTTATAAACAACCCAAGCTGTTTCACTCAACATGCCGGTCATATTAGTAGCAATCTGAAGTCCTCTGTGGTGGTGGGAGGGCCAAGATGGCATTTGAGGCTCCCGATGCCAGCTCGGGCTTTGCTTCTTCTCTCCATAGGTCCCACGGACATTTGTGAATCTGGTGGTGGTGCTTTCCATATCAAGCCTCCAGGAACTGTACGCAGACAGAAGAGTTAGCTGCCCAAGGCTGCTCATGAGGTTTGAAGATGACTTATGTTACAGCTCTCTGCAAGGTCTTCTTGGGAAACTTTCTTGTTAGAGGGGAAAGGCTCTAGCATTCCCAGTCACTGAGCACCTTTCTCTGTGTGTATGTGTCTATCCACATGTTCATTTAAAAATAGCATTTAGAAATGCTTGTCTCTCTATCTGTGAGCCCTACTGCCATCGCTTTTTGTGGAGCTGCCTTTTCAGTGACTCATCATTCACACTGCAGGAGTTCAATGCCAAGCAGAAGGAGCTCAGCTGTGCACTTGCAGGGCAAAGACAGTGAAGACATTCAGAAGCAGAATTTTAGTAGATGAAATTAATCTAATTTTCTATGTGGAAACCCCAAAACTTRAATCTTAGAACTCTCCCTTCACTTCTGTAGTTCCTGATTCCTGTGATCCCCTTGTGGATTATTAGCTGCATTGTTAATTATCTTCTCGGGTAGGTATCTGCAGTGCTTTGCTGTGCTACCTCTTGCTCCTAGGCTGAGTGATCTTCACAGGTCAGCACAAATGCCCAGTACAGGTAGCAGGTCTGTGACGAGCTCCCTTCTTCCTGGCTGTGTACAAGAGGAGGGGGAAGAAAAAGGAAGGGAAGGGAGGACTAGAGTCCAAGCACAAGAGAACCAGGCAGTTACCTGAGGCAACAAATCACAGGTGGCCATGAAAGAACCTTAGCTCTCCTGCCTACTTTATTCATGCAGCGCCTTGTGAAGCAGAGCTAGTAGCTGCTGTRACCTCTGTAGCTAACCTGTGTGGGCTTATAGCCAGTGCCAGGATGTCTATTCCTCCAAGGCCCTAGTAAAAGCTGCTCCTACCTACTACTGAGATGTGCACCTGGCAATTTTCTCTGTTTCAGAAAAGCAAGAACTCCCTGCTTCACTATACGGATCTGTAGGACAATCTGCAAGCTTGTATCTGATRCTGAGCAGCGCAGACAGTTGTGGTTAGCTTGCAGGTTAGAGTCTTAGCAGTCACAGAAGAGCTGGATGGTCTCCTGTACCCAGCCACCTTGCTAAGACTTGGCAGTCATCTGGCTGGGTCCCCTCAGCCAGAAGGGTCTCTACAGGTCCGCAGTCCCTGAGAGGGCTGGGCTGGCAGGGATACATGAAGGGTCTCATGGAAGAAGTGATTTTACAGGAGGAAGGTAGATGCAAGTCTCTTGTTGTGATTTAAGGACTCCATGCAGACTATCAATGGTGAGTTGGCTCCTCAACTCAGTGCTGGTGCTTCAGTCATGCTTCAAATAATGTCACTGGCTAGATGGCAAACATATTTCAGGATCCTATTCACAAGGCAGGGATATAGTTAGTGGAGCCTGTAGGATTAGATATCATGAGATACCTGTAACCTTCCCATCATCATTTCAAGTGTCAGTCTGAATTTAACATGTTCCTGKTTGCCAGCAAACACTACTAAACTGGCTCTATGTGAAATAATAAATACCGTGTTGCTGATCTGAAGAGCCTTGTTTCTGCAAGCTTGGGTCTTAATTTCAGAGAATAGCTAATGACCTTAAAGTCTCTGCTATTTTTACCATGCCCACCAAAATGTTTCTGAATATAATAGATGACCTACAGAAATAAATTGTGTTGTTTTGTTAGTAACTCTCCATTAATAGTTGCCAATTTGTGGGTAGAGATGCATATATTCTTGACACATAACTGCGCTGTGATAGAAGACTTTTTTTGCTCACATGTAACCTTTCCTTTATTTTATATTCCTGAATCTGTCCCTTAAAAAAAAAAAAAAAAAAAAAAAAAAAAAATCTGCTCAATATTTGGGAATCTCCAGAAACTCAAAGCTGAAGCTAATGTTATCATTGAGTAGTCTTCCAGAAAAATCCCCCTTCAGAGAAGCTTTGTACCCTACAACTTTTCAGTTGTGAAAGGAAGCGTGTGCACACGCATGGACACACAGTGCCAATCTCAGCTTATCGTTTTATKTTGCAGGACATTCTGCCCTTGTTTGCTAAACTACGATGTCAATTCCACTGAATTTGAGTGGTTTGTCTCCTTTAATAAAAAGTATCAGGTAAGGCAAATGGAATTTTAAAAGAGTAAATATAGTCCTTTTGTTCTTCTTGCCTAGCAATAGTCTGTTTTTGTTCTGCTAGGAATAGCGAGCAGTTTTATTAGTGATATCAGGGGCTGTTGGAAATGACTTTATCAAGGGTCCACTGAGTGGGTTTTTGGAGTTGGGGGATGGTTTCTCTTTAATGACATTTTGCAGTAGTGATTGTAAAAGAGGAGAGAAGGAAGATGGGTGTAGGCTATCGGGTAGTTGCACTGTTGAAGATCTTTACAACTGCAATTCAATAAAATAACAAAGCAGATAAGGGATATGTTAAAGAACCATAGAAAGTAGTGCATGTCAGGAACCAGCAATTTTTTGACAACTTATCTTTTTGGAAATCAGATTAAGTCAAAGAACATGATCAGTCAGAAATGAAACTCAGGAATGGGATGATAGCCATGCTGAAAACCCTTTAGTGGTTCTGAAAAAAACTCTTTTGACAGAAAGGCTAATTAATGAGCAGGGCCTTTCGTGTGTCAGGTAGTAAGCCACAGGCTGCCTTTTTGCAAAGAAATCTGCTATGAGTTTCTTAAACCTCTGCATTTACTGCCTGGCATAGGCTGGAAGTCACAGTAACTTTTGAGTTTCTGCACTGGAATCACTGGGATGGGGGAATCCCTGGATGAGCTGTAAGTTACTGAGGGGACCCAATGATCTGGATGTGAAAGAAGGAACAGTGATGACTTTTTTTTTTTTTTTTTTTTTTTTTCACTGTGTAGGAGAGAACTCGCGAATTAGTGGAGAGTGGAAGGTATGACACTAAGGAAGACTTCACAGTGGTTTTACAGCCGTTTATGATGAATATAAAAGTACCAAAGACACAGGTAAAACTAGCAACAACAAAAGAACTCCTGCATTAAATCCTAGTGTCATTCCCTTGACTTTTCAAGATTACTTTGCCTGTAAATGTGACTGGCATTATTCTGGGCACTCTTATATTCATCAGAGTTAACATCCAAATTTGCAGAAAACTCTTATGGCATAGCCTGGAGAAAACGAGAAATAAAAAAAATGGGCCCTGAAGACACCATCTGGGACACTGAAGTCACCCCCCCCCCTTGCAATCACAGATAATAATATAGTAAATACTTAACTCCAGAAATCACATATTTCATATAATATATGTATATATATGATATAAACTTTTTTTTTTTTTTTTTTTTTTTTTTTTAGTTTTAAAGGGCATTTCATCTCTGAGTTTCTAGAGCTTTCTGGCCCAGCTCTGTTCTGCTCTGTAAGGCCTTTGTGACTTCTTGGTTCAAAGTCAGCTGGGATACTACTTTGGAATAAAGAGAGGCTAACACAAACCTTGTTTCGTCCTCTAGGAAGGTTTACCTGACAATTCATATTTTGCCCCAGACTGTTTCCACTTCAGCCAGAAATCTCATTCCCAGGCTGCACGTGCTTTGTGGAATAACATGGTAAGATTTTAAATGTTGTTTGTTTTTTCCTTATCTTTTCTGTCTTGCCTTTGGCAGTGAAAAAGAATTAGAGAACCACTATGTGGGACAASTGTGTCTCTTGTGAACTGATAGTGGTGTTTGCAAAGAAAAAGAGGGTGCATCTGAAGGAATTCCAGCTGAAACCACCCATATCAAAAAAATATATCCCAGGATGTGTTAAAGCTATGGCTATTGGACTTCTCTCAGGAGATAATGCATACCTGGTATTTTGATTATTACAGCACATTCCTGACATATCATGGGACAGGCCATTTAGTATGTGGAAACAGCTTTCAAGATAAAATCTTGTGAGGTCAGGTACTGTGAYTGGAGGGTGGAGGGGGTCAGGCAGAGGCATGGCATGGTTGTCCTACTGCTATGCAGTAGAGATGATTTCCAGTAAAAKGGTTACCTCAGCTGGCCAGTACTCATCTGCTTTTCTTCTATGTTCCCCTCACCTGTTTTTCTCCTCAGCTGGAACCTGTGGGTCAGAAGACAGATAATCAACAAATAGAAGAGGAAATTGTTCTCAAATGTCCAAGCGAGGTAAATGATAAGAGTATTTGTGCTTGTTACATGCAGTGCTGCTGGGAATGGCTGAGTGTCTGGATGGGTCTTTACCAGCAGCTTGGAGCACTGCCCTCAAGAGGGGTGTTAGTTTCTCCCTGGTATATTTGGTGCCATGCAGTGTAGAGGGCAGTCTGTTCCTAGGAATAAGCTTCCTGACAGCCATGCCTGAATTGTATGAAACATGAGGGCAGGGTCTCCAACCTGCTTAGACCACGAGGACTTCAGTATCTGTACGGAATGGCATGACTTCAGTAGGGAGACAAATCTCTGCTTATTATTCTGATGCTTCACATTGACTCAGATTGTCTTGCTTTGTAGGCTGAGCCATTCCTGTGGACATATAAGAACAGCAATTACACATACCCCAACCAAACTCCAGTAAGTATCAACACCATCATCCCACTGTTACTCTGCAGCACATGTTCCTGTGTGGTAGCCAGATGAGTCATGCCTTGCATGACAGGCAAAATTGGTCTTTAGACAGAGGATTAATTACATGCTAAACCTGTTCTGTTTTACCTACTTGGCCTCTGTTAAGGGGTAACTAGTTACTACTGACTACTTCCTAGCCAAATGCTATTCAGCTTTCTGCTGGCTCTCTTCTGTTTAGAGTTATGGAAGCGAGCTGCTATGTGAAGACAGGACTCCTTCCTCCCCTTCTGCGGCTTCAGGTAGTATTGCCCATCATCTAGAGATTGAAGTACTTTCAGCTGTCTTTCTAGAATGGTTTTTGGTTTTGTCAAAATGACTGCTGGACCATGAAAAATGCTGCTCAGCAAAAATGTCATGCTTTCCAGCAGCAGATTAATAGATAACAATGCCAAACTGATAACACAGTATTCACAATCCGATTAAATGAGCTCTTAACTTGCTGCCAGTGGAGAGCTTCAAAATATCTTATGAGAAAATTCAGACTCGCATGATGACAAAGCCTATAAATGTCATCCCCTACACTTCTGGGATGGACATTGAAAGTCCAGCTTCCAGCATGTTAGCCTGGAATGTCACAGGATTCAGTTTTTCCAAGAACATCACGTAGCTGTCTCTTTAGTCCTTTTCTGACTTTTTACAGCGTTTAGTATGGCATCATGCTTGGTCTGATACTGCACTGTTTCACCCTCATCTCCGAGCTCAATATTGTTCACAGTGTATTGTTATTTTCTCCTTGCTTTCTGTCTTTTTTTGGAAGCAGTGTTAGCCATTAAAAAAGATAACTAATGCACATATGCTGCAGCTATAACCATGTAAAACGAGCTGGAGAGGGTTTTGTTTCATCATCTGGCCTATGCAAAAGCARTGTGGCTGGGCACCAGAATATACAATGGCACATTTCAAATAGATAGTGGTGAAAAACCGTAATTATTTCCTGTGCATATTCAGCTGTACCTCTTTCCTTCTCTAGTGCATGCCCTGAAGCCAGCTGATGTGAAAGTCATAGCAGCCCTTGGGGACTCTTTGACGGTAAGACAATGGTGTTTTTACTGTTTTCTTGGTAAAACTGTTAACATGCACCTGCTCTGGTGATAAGGAAATATCACTTGCGCCTGGAAGTAAGGATCCATTCATTCATGGGTGATGACAGAGTTAGGAGCTAGGAAAGACAGAAGTAATTCTGCAACACTCTGTTCCCTCGTGTAAATATTCTCATACTTTTGAACACAGGCAAATTATTTAAGGACATGTTTAAAGTATTTGTTGAATAGGGAACAGAAGAGATCAGATGAAACTAAGAGGRCTTAAGTTACTGCTTTGTGGTTTGTGGTGCATATGTGTGTTTATTTTTTCCAAATATGAAAGAACTAGTGAAACTGTCCTTGAACCTCATTTTTTTTTTTTTTCCCCCCCTCAGGAAGAGAGTGTGACTAACATATGTTGAATAATGTGATAGGTATCTACAAAGAAAGAGTCCTCTGTTTTCACCTATCTCAGAAATTATTCAGTCTCTCTTGTTCCTGTTTTAACTCTTGGTCAGTTTGTTCCGAAGGTRTAATTCTCCCTGAGGAGTCTCGCTATGTTTGATAGGCTAGGAGGAACTTGTATGAGGATTCAAACATCTTAAATTCCGATTACAGTTTTTCCCTAATTTTCCTTTGGCTAAAGCCTCTGAAATCCTACAGCCAGCCCATAGGAAATGCTGAGCAGAAAGATATAACTGGAATCCAGGTTCTCTGGTTTTGAGTCTGAATAACAAAGATATTGTTTGTACAAACTATGAAGACTTTACAACTATCTGGCAGGCATGGTGCTGAAACTCCTACACACAAGAGGCTACTGAAGTAAATAGAAGTGTTTGAATGCAGATCTGCAATATTGACAAAGGCACAAGATAGTATCTGGCTGCAGTTGCTATATGAGAACCAGGAGTCTACAGGTGTTTCTGCTTCTAAGTACAGCTTGTGAGAACTGAGAATAAAACCCATTTTCATAGAAACAGCATTTCTATATTACTATCTGAGGTGCATTTGGCCAATACACAGGCATTTCGAAGTATTGTCTTGTATTAATTTGACAAAACTTATGAGTTGTAGGAAAGTGTTGTAGTATTGTTTAATATGRGGCAGTTGAGGGACAATCTGCCTGGTATTGTGCTGTTCTGCAGCACTACCCAGGTACTCATGTTTAATATGACACTCTAGTATTACTGTGGGCAATCACTTACTTTTTGAGTTCTGGTGGCTTTTAGAGGGATGCAAGCGTCAATTTGTCCTGTTTTTTATTGTGAGTATAGACTGCTTCCTTCCTTGCCCTAATGCTATTAGAAATTTCTGTGTAGCACAGTACTTTTCCAAAGAGGATAATGTGATTACAGGACTCCTTATTTCTGAGATACCTGTTTTTCTTTTCTGTATTGGCTTTATTTTGTGCTGGCTGCCATTAGCCTGAAATTTGTCTGGGTTTAGGATGTTTTCAACTTTCATGAGTAATACGACTATAAATGTTACTCACTTGATCTAGAGCCTTCATCTATGTGAAGAAAGCCTTCAAACCTCTGTTTCATATATCTTGTGCATCATGTACAATACAATACTGATGAATAAGCTTGAAAGATATTGATGCATTTTGAGGGGAGGAGGTTTTGGGAGAAGCTGGATGACTTCTAAAGCTTTTGAAGACACCCATTCAGAAATGAATAAAATGACTATGAATGATCATGGTGTTAATAATTGTGCTTTCCTTTTGTCTGGTTAATGAAAACTAATGTCCAGGCTGGTACAGGAATTGCCTCAGATAACCTTGCAGATTTGGGCACGGAATACCGAGGACTCGCTTGGAGGTAAGCCTTCCTCCAAGATGATGAGGAGTCTTCCTTACCATTAAAAGTATTGTTCTCTTCTCCATGTTTTGGAACTCTCAGATGTCAGAAAGTGGAAAAAGTTATTTATCTGGCTAGCATTTCTTACGAAGTGTTCTGGTGTTGTTACAAATGGGGTTCCACATGAAGAGCTTTCAGCAATAGATTTTCAGCTAGCCTGTTGACTTCTCTCATGCTTTTGTCTTGGTCTGATCATAACAGCTTGTCTTTTTGTGTTGAGAGGAGGAATGGGAGATCTACAGAACTAGAGTAAAATCACTGGTCAAACAAGTCAGATTTTTTTTTTTTTTTTTTTTTTTGCTTTTATTCTCAAAGAAATAGTTATTCTTCTCCAGGTTTGCTATTACAGAACTTTCTGTTGGACTAGGAATAAATGGAGATCTTTTACCATATGCTACACACACACACACAATCACAAAAGGCTAGACTGTGTCCAGCTAAGACATAAGTGACCAGCATTTCCCCTTCTCTTTTTAGTATTGGAGGAGATGCTTCCTTAAAGGATGTGACAACTCTACCTAGTAAGTAAATTCTCTCTTAGATCTAACTAATGAAATTAAAAAGAGGGAATGGGCCGAGTGGTAGGTGTGCAGAGAGATCTTCTTAAATGCCTTCAAGGTATTGGAGAGTAGTCAAGATCTTCCTGTCAAAGAAACAATATTCTAAGACTTACTTCATCAGGGATACTGAGAAGAAACCCAAAAACCCTTCCTTTTTTTTTCTCTCTTTTGAAACTGCTTGATGAGTGTTACTTGACTTTCTAAATAAGCTTGCTGTGTCCATGTTTGTTATGCAATTAGTGTTTGCTTTTAATAAATTTCTAGCACAGGTTTTTTATCTGCCACCCCTCCAAAAAGGGATGCTTACAGGCATTGGCATTTTGGTAAATACTACTCGTACATGTAACCTGAGGGCAATAGTTTTAATTTTCTTTTTACTAATAYATATACCTTTTCCTAACTTGGCTTGTTGTTAATGTAAGAACCACCAGTCTCACTTTGGATCAGCTATAATAATAAATTCCAGTTGAAGAAGGCCAATAAACTGTTCTTCTCTGCTCATTATTATAAGTAGAATGTAACAAGAATATCTTACTAATAAGCAATTATAAATAATTGATTGTTTCACTAGATGATATTACTATAGCATAGACGCTATTACCTATAGATATTATTTTGATAAAGCCTTTTTAAATCACTAAAATATATTTAATTGAATCATTGAGGTTAAATCGGCATTTCTAACGTGGCTTTGTTTACATAATCAGCTCACAATTTTGCTGCCTACCTCCTCTTAAAAATTACTATGGATATAACAATGCAAGGTGGAAGTACTTCCGAACCATGCTGGAGGCTTTCTTTGAGTTCATCAATAGTGTTGTCAAATGTTGCACGGCCGCAAGGCTGACCCAAAATCTCTGGCTGAAGCCTACAGTTTATTGCTTCTGCAATGATTGATGTCCCCTTCASAATCTCTTCATAAAGGCCCCGTCGGGTGACTGAGTGGATTTTAATTCAGCCTTTTCCCATTGTAACAAGCAAGATAACTGCACACAACAAAATCATGAATTCTACTCATCTTATTCCCCAGTGACAGTACAGGACACACAAGGTGACCCTGTGCTGTCCAAGCTGCTGCTCACTGGTTGCTCCTTTTGCCTCTGGTCAATGTTAGTTAAATGGAGACTGCAGTGACTGTACTATCTTATCCATAAGCAAAAACACAATGTGTTCATGTGTGCTGGTCATGGGAGGGACAGATGGATAAGATCATTTTTCTTTCTCTTCTATCCTTTTTTAATTTTATTTTTTATTCATTTATTTTTTAGACCTCTTTCGAGAGTTCAATGCTAAGATCGTGGGCTATTCAACTGGGACAGGACGTGCAAATGAATCGGGCGCGTTCCTTAACCAGGCAGTCCCTGGAGCTGAGGCTGAGTATGTAGCTCTTTGTTTCCCCTTTCAGGTAATGGATGCTTCATCTAATTCCCTTCCAACTGCCTCATGTGCTGTCATGACTTGCTCTGAACAGCAAGCAAAACCAGTCAAGTTGGTGCAGAAAACGGGCTTAGCTCAACTTTCAAATGAAACCAGCAGTCCTAGTTATGTGCCCCATGAGCAAGAAAATGTCAGAAACTGGTGGTGGTGGTTTCTACCCATTATATTCAGTGTTGATAAGTCTTTGAGAGCAGGGATGTCTTAAGAAAATGAGCATGTAGTGAGTTGCTAAAGAATAGACAGAAGAAAAACTCGATTAAACCTTTCATAATCTTGGCCTCAGGCGTTCGCAGAGACAGGCAAGACTGACAGGGAGGGGGGAAAAAAAGAAGTTGAAGTGGAATATGAAGAAGGGAGAATTACTAATAGTCACATTWGGGTTTTGGTGCATTGCAGACCTGGTGCAGTTGCAGGCAGCCCTGCCAATTTACTGGGTCTGTAATGTATTGCAGTCATCTGAATTTGGCCCTTTGCTTCTAATCACACCTGGGAGCCTATCTAAGTTGAATGCTAATATACGCTTATCAAAGAAATTCCTGGCTTCTTATTGAAAGTCATTGCTGTTTATTTAACAAAAACAGATGGTTGCTGGGATTCAGTCACAGTTTGGACAGGGGACCTGGCAGAGGATGCTTGGGTTTGACTCTGTTAGTTGATAATACTCAGCTCTCATACACATACATATACATATATATATATGTGTGTGTGTGTGTGTGTGTATATATACACACATATATATGTATATTATATATATATGTATAATTATATATATATATATAGTTTAAAAAATAATCTTGATTTCCAAAGAGCTCTTGAAAGTCAAATGCTGAAGCCAAGTGAAATATTTGAGTTTGCTGCATCTGAGTGATGTCAGTTAGGATTTGTCAGGTATTATTTACGGCTCTTTTGCAGTCCTTGAGTAACTGGTGAGTCATAATACCATTCTCAGTAAATGTTTATTTTTCTGGACAGAACGTGTGTGCCAGATGCCCTGAAGTATCATACGGCCTTCTGCACCTAAAAGTACCATTTTGTGGTCATGGCAATTTTTTTTTGCTTTCATGTTAGTGAAATACATGCATGGATTATGTCTGAGCCGTTCGTGAGAATTCATGAACAGAGTGCTATACGGACCATATTAACTTCTGGGKTTTTTTGTTGCAGGAATGAATGAAATAGGTGGTTGCCTTGCATTTTGCATTTGTTAAAGCCTAGAGACACTGTTTGGAGCAGGAAAAGGATTGAAAGAGGATAGTATTTCCTATGAAGTCACCAATATACATGCCATTATTATCAGTAGCAACCAAGGCATTTCTATTAGATAGTCATTCAGTAGCCATTTTAAATTAATTGATGCGTGTTAGTCCAAAGGATAACTGTCTCTTTCATCCATASCAATTAGTCTTATCCCTTCCCAACCATCTGGATTAGATGCTTATTGACTCTTGGCTCAGGATGCATCGACGGTCAAYGACCGCATGAGAAATCTAAAGTGTTGCAGACTGTCTGCTCCATATGCGACGTTTCCTCTTGATTACTGAAATCAGTGCCTTAACTTAGGKGCTTCTGCAGGGAGAACAGAAGGAAAATCCTGACAACTTGTGACCTGTGATAGCTTTGGGATATAAATAAGTAGGTTAACACATGGGACAAAGGCAAGAGTGAACAAAACTGCTATATTCCTACAGCATCTTTGTTGCAAGTCAGTGTGTGCCAAGGCTCTTTCCCCAGTAAATAGATTTAGGTTGGTGCTAGATCAATATTCAGCTGGAGGGAGGTGGTGAGAAATATCTCCTGCTTCTACAATAAATAGAGCATCACAAAGGAGAATTGGACCACGGTTACTGTGCAAAACAAGTGTTATGCTTATTAATGTCAGCTGATGGTCATCCAAAAATGATAGGCAGTCAGTGAAGTGATTCCAACAGCCAGGAGAGYGATGCAGCTCATCCCAGGCTACAGAGCTTCCTGGAAGGCTAAAGCTTTCTAACCACGTTCTTCATGCATATTTGAAGACTGTTGTGTCAGAGCAGAGGAGAAGGTTGAAGTGTTCAGTCTACGTAACTCAAAGATTATGGCAGTTRCATATATGTTGGTATGTATGTAAAAGGGAGAGAGTGTGCTTGCATGGCTGCTGCAAAAGCAGCAAAGTTGTTAGCTTATCTGACTTATCTTGAAAGTTGCTTGGATTTTTGTTAGAAATAGGTTAAAAAAAAAATAGAGTGCACCAAGGTGTTTGTACACAGCTGAAAGCTTAGGTATTAACTCTGGGTGCAAACTCCAGAAAGCAGGGAGCTGTGCGAGGAGTTGTGCGTGCACACACTTGCTCAGGAGGCCAAACACTGGGACATGCGACTCCTTTGCTGATTAATCCACAAGAAATGATAGGAGCCCAGTTCTGATCAGATTGTCTGCAAACAAGCAAGGTGCTCTGCACTGTCTGGCGTTTTGGCTGTTTGARGCACTAAGCACTGTAATAAGCTAATCTTACTATAAATCAAAAGTTTAAAAATTATAAMTCCAGACTAATTGCTGAATCTGCACAAGATCTGTATCAATCAATTTGACATTTACTTTCSATAAAGATACAAACATATAATTTGATAACTGTGAAATGGAAACTGTAGTTTCTCTTCACTTGAATCTTCTGATACCTAATAATGCGTAGAATTGAAGGCATCTAAAGAGCCTAATTTTGCCCTCTACCTTGGAGTATTTCTTTCACTTACTGATTATCCTTCTTCACAGGCATTTACCTGAGCAAGCCAGAACTCTCCTGAGACTAATGAAAACTGATCCTGTAAGTTGTCTAGGACTTAAATTTTGCAGCATAAAAAGAAAGAGGTGTTGTTTCTCTTGATAGATCCATCTTTAAGGATAACCAAGTACATACGAGTCAAAGAAAATTAGGCTCATTATTTTCTTCTTCATTATGCAGAGAATTGACCTCAATGGTGACTGGAAGRTCATAACGGTGTTTATTGGAGTCAATGATCTGTGCAACTACTGTAAAGACCCTGTGAGTAGTAGAAAGTGTTAAGTAAAACAATAGTGGGACTGTATGATACTAATGTGGAAAGACCTCAAGGGAAACCTGTGAGTCCTTAGAGTTTTAACAGGGACAATCGTGAGCTTGATGTTTTGATGGGGATGCTGCTGACAGTGGCCTGACGTGGAAACAGTCATTGACAAAAACTGTCGCCTTTGCTCATGGTCATTGACAAAAACTGTCGCCTTTGCTCATGGTCATAAAAGACAGTAAAAATGGAAGGGCTAAAGGAAAGAATTATACTGCTTTGAACCATTATCAGTCCACCCCAGCAATGTTCTTCATTGCCTAATAACTCCGTGCAGGATCTGCTTAGGAACAGGAGAGGTGTATATTGGAAGTTGCTGTGGTGCTCAGTACCCTTTGAATTGATGCTTCTTTGCACTATTTTGAGGAATGTCTTAAGGAGATCACGGGAGTTGCTGACTAGGCAGAGGTTGAGGAGAGGCCATGTTCCTCTGGCAGCTCATGCTCTTTCTCCTTCAATACATTAACTTCCCAGCTTGTGAACGCTTTCATTTTCCCCTGCACCTGTTGTGCTTGAGGGATTTCCTTCTTCTGCAGGAGCCCTGATTGCTGCTGCCAAATATTAATTACRGCTGTATTTATAGCTATGTCGTTGCCTAGTAAAGATTTCATCTGAGTTTGAGAGTTCCAGTTGGCTGTGGGCATGCCTATGCCGGGTTTATGTCTCGTGCTCTCACACTAAGCTCCTTCCTCCATTGTTATGTGAAGGACGCAGTGCTTCAAGGGGATGTATTTTAAACCTCAAATTAACTGAGAGTTTGTACATTTTAGATTAACTGATAGGCTTAAAGTTCCTGATCTCTAGAAAGGAGAAAGAAAAYGTCACTGAATATACGTCTGTATTGCAGAAAAAGGTCATTAAAGTGAGTCTCCATCCTCACAACTCAAATGTCTTATCTTTACTAACGATAATCTTTTATTTATTTGTTTATTTTTAACCAGGATCATTACTCAGTTGTAAATTTCACCAGACGAATTCAAGAAACCCTTGATATTCTGCATGAGCAGGCAAGTGTTGTGAAACTGGCCTGGTATTCTAGCTTTTACTAGTACGTAGCTGTTTGGGACTAGCTTTTGTCATTCCTTCCACTCTGGTACCAAATATATTCTATTACATAAAATCATTTTGTTTTGTGCACCGGAGGGTAGTGAGATGCTGCCTGAAATGACAAATGACAGGGGAAGGTTTTGTTTGTTTGTTTTCCTTCCTCTCTCTCAACAAGTCGAAAAAGAAAAGGGAAAGGAATGTTTGGACTTGGTCATATAAAGTAAACACCTTTAGGGCTGTCTATCCAGATCATTCTAAGCAAAGGTCTGATTTTCTTTTCAGGTTCCCAAAGCTCTAGTGAATCTGGTTGAAGTACTGGACCCTCTACCTCTGAGGCAGTTGTTTGTGAACACTCAAGCTCAGTGCCCYGGTTACTTCACACGGTAAGGCTGCCTTTACTTTCTAGAGCATTTACTGTCTGTCATGATAAAACACATTCTTGTTCTGTTCTTCCTGTTTGAACTGATGTTCAGTGATAGCATTAGAGTCCTATGGACATCCCATCCACTGCTGACACTGTCGTGTCTGAAGGAGCTGCCTATCTTGTCTTTTGCCGAACAGTTCCCAGGAACAAATACGATTTCTACAGCTATTTCAGGTTGCTCCTTATACTAATGTGAGTTGCAGACTTGAAGCAACTCTGGACCAATATTGATACAGTGGCATAAAAATGTTCTTTGGAAAAGTTTATGGCTCTGGAGAGTTGAATTGCCTGTATTAAATAGTAGATTGGAATTTCTAGCTGAGATGCATAAGGAATCCTGGTCCTACGGCTGGGTCAAATAACATATCTTGGGCTGTAATGAAGGTAGCAAAAGTTGTAGACGCCTGAGCTATGGTTATGCTCGGGTAAGGATAGGGGTGTAAGGTGATGAGGCATCTTAGGTTAGGATGAGAGATTAGAACATCCTTACCTAGAGTTTGCATCATAGGTAGTAGGGCTTGCTTGGGATTAAGGGCTGGGGCTGGAGAGGAGCTAGCTGCATGAGGATTTTATTTGGGCCTGGGAGGGATTTTCTGCGTTAGGGACAGAACTGGGCTTGTTAGAGGTCAGTGGTCTAAACTTCTAAGCTGTGTCTGGAAGTTACAGATCTCACTGTGACTCCAAAGGTGTTGGCTAAGACAGTGCATGAGACAGTATTTGACTTGAGCAAAATGATTGAGTCCCCTGTTAGAAGAAYGAAGGTGGGCTAAATATGATCAGAAAGGGTGAGGTAACAGACTTAACCTTCTGCTCAAGGATTGACATAACAAGTTTAGACTCAAGGCAGGGTTTTATTAAAGGTAACTTACCCTTACGTAACTTTGTTTTGATTTGGGCTACTGGGTTCCCTTCCAGGTCAGATTAGAATCACATTCTTAGGCTAGTTAAGTTAGGCTTTGCATAATAGTTTCTTGAACTTTGGTGAAGATGGGGGCAGGTTTGATTTGCAGATCTGCATTCCCTTTCTGGCTGAAAGGATTAAGGAACTGTTTCACCTTCAAGCATGATACAAGAGCTGAGGCCATTCCATTTGTATTTATTTATTAAACCTCAGAATAGTGGACTAAGCACTTCACAGGCCATTAGTTTTAGGGAAGCTTCACTCAATATAATCTTCATTTAGTATTTGAATAAATAGCATTCTCTGGGTTAGGGCCGCTGTGGCCTTACAGGTCTCTGGGAACAGAAGGGAACAGAATTTGCCACACTGGAGCAGTCTATAATGAACTATACTTCTTATTCTAAGGTTATGGAAGGCTGTGACTTAAAGGTTAGGAGTTTTAGAAATTTATGTGAGGTGTCTTCCTACAGAAGGCTTCTTGAGATATATAAGGTAGATTTACTGCGCTGGGTTCAAGTTACTGATACAAGGTTTCTTGAAGTGGTGTTGAAATGTCTGAGTATGTGGACTTTAAGGCTTTTTGAGGAAATGGGAAGTACTTACAGAGTAGGCAGGTTTCTCTCAGAGGCTTTGAGATAAGTAATTTGCATTTTTTGCTGACCTTCTAGACAGGAACACATTCTGGATCTCAGGAAAGAAAAAGGAATTGGTGCTTGGAAAGCCTCAGAGGCAACGCAGCCAGTAAAGTTTACAGATCTGTTTTCTAGTTCCAGAGGCATTGTGTGTCTGTCAGGCTGCAAGGGCTTTGGGTGCCTGAATGCAATGAATGGGACATAAACAGGCACAGTAGAGTGATTGCCTTCTCAATATGCCTAGGGGTGAAAATAAACTTGTTACAGCAGCATCACTCATGTGAGGCAGCAAATAAGACYAAGGCTTGAAAGGTTGAAAGATGGCAAGGACCATCAGACACTTTCATGGAAACACTATAGTGCAGTTCTTGTTACTCCTGTGTTACAGGGCTTTGGGTGGCAAAGGATGACTTCTGCATTCTCAGGTTTTAACTGTCTCTATTTTTGTTTGCTCCTTTAAACTCTCCCTCAGTTACCTGTGCAGTTGTGTCCTCCTAGGAGAAGAAAACTCACAAAATGTAACAATGGTGAGAAAAGCTACCAGAGCTTACCAGGTATGTTCATCAGGAGTGGTCACATTTTAAAGTGGTCACAAGTAAGGTGAAAGTCACTTTACTTTGAGATGTTGTGAGTCCAGCAACCTGTCTGATTGCAAATCATAGCAATGTTTTACCCGAATGGACCCTGTAAGGTATCCAGGAGGTAATTTGATGTTATCCAGAATACTGTAGACAGCAGCAAAATAGTTCAGCAAAATTCTGTTCCCTGATATGGATGGATTGGTGGGGGTTTAATTATCCTCTTCCCCCACAATCAGTTGCAGCAGTGTACTGACACATTGCAAAGGCTCTCCTTTTTAACAGGTACCCCTAGGTATTTTGGCTAAAAAGCAGATGCCTCTCAGTGATACTTGCATTTTCAGAGAAATATTATGATGATGGAGAAATGTTGATTTATCACTGGTCAATTTTGTTTCTTGCAGCTTGGTCTTCAGGAATTGGTAGAATCTGGCAGATATGACACTCATGAAAATTTTACAGTGGTAGTCCAGTCTTTCCTTCAAAATTTCAAGATTCCTCTTCATCAGGTATGGTTTGAAGACACCATAAAGTGTCTTCACTTCAAAGACATGCACTTCACATGCATGTCTTTGCMTAAAGACCCGCAAAGAAGCAAGTATCCAGTCTTTAAAGTCGATATGCGAAGTAGTTTCAGCTTGTTGAGTATTTTTCTTTATTTGAGTTTGTTTATTTTTGATGTAATAGATTGTCAGACTTTGCATGGTTATCAGTTTTGTTTTACATGTTGGGCTGTCATTATCAATTACTGCTTTGAAATATTAATTGAAACTTGAATTAAGAGCCTGTTCTCTGCCCATTTTCAAGAATCTGTAAATATTTTTCATTCTGAAAATATAACATGGCTAATAAAGACAAAGATACTTTACAGTTCTTAAAGCCACATAGGTATAGGTGCTCACTGGAGGTTACGTCATCACCTCCTTTTTAAGTCCCCTAACCTACTCTTCTATGTCTSTACAGAAAGAGAAGTTGACACAAGGTCTAATGGAGATAGATTTATGCAGTGACCTTTTCCCCCTGTCACTGGCAACATGAATGCATTTCAGTTCCTTTCTTGGCAAGTCCCAGCAAATTGTAAACCTAGCAAGTGACCCAAACCTTCTCTGTAACTGAAACCCTAAGTGCCAATTCTAATACATCTACAGTTCCTGACTTTGGCTGGGACCAGTAGCAGATGGGGCAAAATAGTGTGCAGGAGCTACGGCTGTGGATCAGGGTGATCTGGAATTAGCTTAGTTTGAAATAGTTTAAAAAGCTCAGATGCTAGACAAACTTTTTAAATTTCAAAGCTAAATACATCACAGAAAAGGAGGCATTTGTTCATTTATTTGTCTAAGTTAATGTGAATTATTCATTCTCAGGAATTTTYGTACCAAAAGAACACAAATAAAACATAGGAGGAGAAAGATATCCCTGAGCTCATTAATCTCACAGTTATTTTTCATAGTTTAAGAAAGCTTTTGTTGCTGTTGTTTGTTTTTAATGCCTTGCACAAAATTCAGATGTTCCCAAACAGAAAATTCTGCCTTTCATCTTGGCAGAATATCAAATATGGATCCAAGTTTTGGTAATAGACCTCTAATGAGCTAGCTCAAACATAGTGGCTCAAAACCTACTCACGCTTTGAGGAAGGTATGCTCTGAAAAAAAAAGTCATCTCAATCATAAATAATCTAGTCTTTCTCCTCTTGGTACACTTGCATGAAAGTCAAGATATTTAAATTTCCACGCTCTGCTTCCTTCAGATGTTCTAGTGTCTGTATTAAAGTACAGCTGTGCTCAAAAAGACACTGTGTTGGTATATTCAATCATTTTGACTGCCTTCACTCTAAAGCATTTTATTTGCTTTTTGCTTCTTTCAAACTTGCAGAACTGACACAGCTGTGAGAAATGGGATGGATTCTGTTCTTTCTGGTACATCATCAGTAATATGCTTGTTACCATGTAACTGCACAGCATAATGTTGCCTATAGAGCAGTATGAAGGAGAAGAACCCATTCTTATTGGAAAAGCTTAAGAGAATAACCACAAAGCTCAAAATCCCCTTTTTTGCTGTTTCTGTGTGGATGTGCACCTCAAAGAGCTTGAGCTTCTAGGCACAGAGGCTAAGCATTTCTACCAGCTGTTGTGTACTTTGTATTGCTAGATAATCAAGAGACTTTCTGCGCAGAAGCGTTAAACACATCCAACTTTCATTAGTGGCTCTGCTTTGATCTAAAGTTGGAGCTCTCTGGCTTTTTCTGCGCTCAGATGTCCTTTTATATTTTCATTTTCAGGATGGGAGTCCAGACATCTCCTACTTTGCACCTGACTGTTTCCATCCAAGTCAGAAAGGTCATTCTCAGCTYGCCAGGGCTCTCTGGAATGCTATGGTAAGGTGACATGCATGGCACATCTTTAGTTAGAGCTACTACCATCATCTATGTAATTACGAATGAAATASGTATTGCAATGAAGGCCGGGACAACTTTGGATCTTGGTGATGTGTTCCCAGGGTTTATATTTCTAGTTTACTAGCCAGATGCCTTCAAGTTTAAAGCTGTTCTCAGCCTAGAAAGTCTTGCTTCTGAAAGTGGATGGGGAGGGGTGATGCAAGTGTATCATCTGAATATCTAAGGATTTCAACTAAGTATCTTCCAGTGTGTTTTATCAAATGTCACTAAATGTGGGATAATACCTATCAAGGATGTTTTAGTGGATTTGTTTGGGGGAAGCTCAAAAAAAGGAATCTTAACTACATACGCCAATTTAGAAAGAATTGCAGAAATTGTTTTAAAACCTTGTGAGGAGGTTTTCTCCTTATGCGTTAAAGTGTTTTTAATGAGTAAAACCCAACAAAAAATGAGTTAAGTTAAAGATTGCTTAAGCAAAACATTTTTCACCAATATTGCAGTGCAGTAGGGGTGTGTGTGAAGTTAGAGAAGATGTTTCAGATCTTGCAGGTGACTTCTGTATGTTTGTGTGTATTGTCTTAACTGCTAACACGAGCGCCTGCAGTTAAGCAGTACCTCTAAATAAATGTGCTTCTATTTTCTTTGTATAAACAGCCTTGTACCTCTAAATAAATTTGTTTCTATCTTCTTTGTAAAAACAACCTTATTTGGAATTGGTAACATGTTCTTCAGCTATAAAAATTGAGGGAGTCTTAGTATCTTCTTTTGTGCAGGAGAAGATATTTTATGACCTTGTATTCCAACGTAATTCCCAAAGAATTGCATGTGCCTGCCAAAATCCTCCTGTGGAGTTTAAACTGATGCAGTGTAGTTTTCCATGTCCTGTTTTAAACATCTTCCTAGAGTTCCTATTTTATTATACAGTTGTCATTCCTTCTGAGAAGTAGATGCATTTCAGTCTTGGCTAAAGCAAGACCTGTAAATACAGGCAGCTTTATATAAATTTGAAAGGTATATTTAGATTCTTTTGGATTAGAATTTTTATACAAGTGTAAGATGAGAGGACACAGCTACAAAATATTTTTTTTCTTCCTTTCTAGTTCCAACCTGTAGGACAGAAAACTGACTCCTTTGACTTCACATCTAGCATCACCCTCAGCTGTCCAACCCAGGTAAATACCCCCACACCGTGGAAACCAGGTATGAGGTCTCTGCTCCCTGCAGAGAGCAGGACCTGGGTATGTCTGGAACAAACCTACTGGAAATTTTCACTCTCTGCTTAGCTCCGTGAGAAGATACTCTGGTGCCGCTTGGTCTTTAACTGTGCAATTGATACTGATTGATAGTGTGCTGATTTGTGTGCCTTCGGTTGCAGCCGATTTTGGCTACATTTTTAGTAGTGAGGCAGTATTAAAGAYGCAAGTAATTTCAGGTCATACAAGGGGATTTTGTTTGTATCACGTCCATTGTGTGGGTAACAGAAGATCTGCCAAGTTTGTAATGAGCATGTTTCTAAACTTCCTAGATTCACTTAAATCCTACTTTTTCAGTATACTTTCTTTTTTTTTTCTTTTTTCGAAGGTATCTTAATATCTTAAACGTACTTATCAATGTTTTCAGTGACAAATAATGTGGGTTTTTATATTTCTTGCCTTTCATCCAATCCCATTCAAAGGTGCTAGTGCTGCTGAGAAATAGCCATGAAGTTTTATATCCCTTGCAAACAATATATAGACATTATTTTCAGAACTGATATGCCCACAGTGCTTTGAAAAAGGCATTGATATGAATCACCATAGCTTTCCCTGCTCACAAGGCTCTAAGGTAAAGACTATAAAAGTACGAACTAACAGAACTGAATGTTTCCAGGGGATTCTACTACAGGGCATAGTAAATAATTTTTGGATTCTGATGCACACGAATTCCGTTGCTTATTCCCATAATTTCTGGAGGGGAAAAAAAAAAAACAAACAAAAATCCACCTCCATACTTGAAAAATTATTTGTATTAAGATAACTTAAAATAGGATAAAATAACTGTAAGAACTCAGAGGCATTTACAGTCTGAATTTGGGGAATTTTGCAGGGGGGTGGGACAGAAATAACCRTGCAATAGAAACAGTCTCTCTTTGGGGTGGAAAGTGAGCCATACGGGATTGTTCCTTACTCCTTTTCTGATGCAGGCAGATTTGCCCATTTTTTTCCTGGTCTTWATATCTCAATGTCTTTTGGAAGTACTAGACTTCTGATCAAGTCAAAGTAATTTGTGGAAAAGCTTAAGAGAGGGAGAGAGGAGAATGTTAGATCACTATGCAGGAACTGAATGTCTGGTACATGTCATTTTCACTATAATGTGCTAAACAAAAATCTCACTTGTGAATTTTAAGAGCATGGTTTAAAAATCTAGATCCCATTTTTTTTTCAGCTTAGGCAATTGCTATTTATGTGGGTGGATTTTTTTCTTTTTCTTCTTGCATTCTATATTGATGTCACTTGCTTCGGGCTGTGCTATATGCTCATTGCTTGATTTGAATTTGTCATATTTTACTTTGTTTTTCTTTTTTCCTGCTTTCACAAGAACATCCCCTTCCTGGGAACTTACAGGAATAGCAACTACACGTACTCTGTGGCTCCTACTACCAGGCCAATAGAGGTAATTGTAGCTTCTGCTTTTTCTACAAACTGCAAAGCTGCCCCTGTGTAGGGACTTAACATCATTCTGAGTTTATAAATGAGAACTCATTACCAGTTTTGAGATGTGGCTGTGTGTCTCGCATAGCATTTCTCCTCGCTAAACTCTTCTTTTGTATTTAAAAGCCATRTAAAGTCCATTGTATTGACTGGTGCTCAAAGGGAAGTAGTCTGGGATGCACCACCATAGTAAAAGATAAGCTGCTCGTAGTAGGGAGGGGAGGATTTAGAGCTGTGAGCCCTGAGATGATGTGTGAAAGCTCGTGTCCTACTTGCTTGCAGTCAAGCGAGCTGAGCCTGTAGAGGGCAGTCACCCATGGACATCCAACGTTTCCTGCAGCCAGAAAGCCGTGGGATCTACTGGCAGGGATCYGCTCTCAAGGGGAGCATTTCACTTTCTGTCATGACTGAGCAGCTAGCACAGGGRAGATCAACTGTTGGAGCACCCTTTCTATAGGACTTAGAAGGGAAGCAACTTGCATATGATAAATAGCTGCAGGCATGAAGAATTCCTGCAAATGGAGGCTATTTTTTGGAGGATAAAAGTAGTTGGAGATGACTGTCCAAATAGCTTAGGCTGGCTAGTCTTTGGGGTCTAGCAAGATCATAGAATCATAGAAT